AGTCCTTAGTGAGTTAAGGACCCTGAGGGAGGCCAAGAGCTACTGAGGCAGGTCGCACCTGATGTATAAAATCATGTAGGTGAGTTCTTCGTTTGGTTGGATCTATTGTAGTTAGAGATAAATTGCTTGTAATTTTTTACTTGTAATTTTGAATAACTTGATCCCAAATAAACAAGGGCAGGACAACCGAATTAGAAAAAAAAAAAAGGTTTCTGTATAAATATTCTGTATCATATGATACAGAATTCGCAGTCAATTCTGTATAATTTTATACAGAATTTTATCCTGAAAATTTAAGTATTAATTCAAGATAATTTCAGTATATTTTTTTTTATAGGGAAATATCAAGGTACTGGAACACTATAGCTCAAACTATAGAAAAGAAGTAATACGAAATCTGCAATCTGGAAGTTATGGATAATCTATAATGCAATACGGTGAGCCTGCACCAATATACAGGAGTATCTACCTATAAGGTAATGGGAATCGGCAGCATACTAACTAAACTAGGCATTAATGATGAGGCTTAACTTGGGCCAGTATGAGTTCTTCTTCGTGATACTACCTAAGCAGACTAGCTGAAGATAACCAAGATTAGAAGTAGCCCTTGAGGCTACAAGACCATATCACAGAAGGGACTACCAAATTTAGAAGCTTAGGTATAAGTGGTATGAGAGATGCGGAGAATAATGTTATAGAGAAGTATACTAAAATAGAACTTATGAAAGGTGGTAAAATACCAAGTGAGTAGGTTGATGATGACATACCACTTTGGTAGGTTTGGATCGCAGATAATTAGATTGGTGGCCAGTAGCAGATGGGGATATCTATCGCGCAAGTAATAGTTTCAGCCAGAGCATAGGTTACCAATAGGATCCAGGTCTAAGCTTGGTGTACTTGATATATATAATATGAAAAATGTGATGATACATATAAAGTATTATTAATAAATAAAGTCATAGGCAAGATCCCACCTTAATACCAAAAAAAAAAAAATAATAATAATTGAAAAATAATGCGGATACATGTTTGGAAAGAACTATTATTATTATTGGTAATAATTTAAGTGCTAACAAAGATATTAATTTCTTTATATCAGATGAAAATTTCTTGGAAAAGGTATTTATAAGAAAATTTCTTGAAACAGGCGTTTGTGAACAAATTCTTAGTGGAGAGCATTATGAGCAAATTTTTTGGTAGAGAGCATTATGAGCAAATTTCTTAGAAGAAGTGTTTACTATGAATTTTCTTTTTATTTTTGCATTATGTAACATTATATTAGTTCTTGTAATTTATTATCAAATATTTAATAAAAATATGTTTTACTTGATTTAAATCCTTAACTTGTAAATATAAGAAATTATATAAATAATTTTATTAATCATTTTGCAATTGAATAAAAATTAATACTAGTTTATGCTTAAAAAAGCATAGTATAAAAGTAGTTAGAAATAATTTCGATTGATCTTTAGTATAGGTGGGCATATATAATTATTATACAATTATAATATATATAACTTAACTATTTTGAACTAATTTAAGTAATTTTATAAATTATTAGGGTCAGGATTAAGGTTAGGATTTAAATTAGCTTAAATTAGTTAGATTTTATATATTATAATCTTGTAATATTTTATATATGCTCTCCTATACTAAAGGAGATTTATGATTTCAACCAAGATTATAGCTGGGCTATTTTTTTTCATATTCAAAAAATCTTGGCATAAAAGTCATAAGCTTTGCCAAGATACATGATCAATATTAAGTTTTACAGCTGAACCATATCTTTCTTTTGTACTTTTGCTAAGGGATGCAGCAAACATTAAATTTTTTTCTTTTATGCCTAAGGAATCTTGGCATAAATAGTTATACAAACAAGATGCGCAGTTAAGATGTTCTTCTTATCTTAAAAACCTATAAAAGCCCAAACATAATCTTTATTTTTGTTAATTAAATATTTTCAATCATATTTATAAAAAAAACAGAAATAAAAAATCATTATTTTATAATTAAGTAAAATGGAATTTTTGCTATCTAACTATAATAAAGATGAGTTGCAAGAGAATTTAATAGACATCAAAGACATGATTTCATCAGATAATGAAAACTATGATGATCCTGTATTTGATTTAGAGCAGAACTTATACGAATATGCCTTAGTTTCAGCAGAATTTGAAAAATGATCCATGGAAAGAGTTTAATGTGGAAGACATACCAATTTTGCAAGAAAAAAGTGGTAAAGGTATCGGTAATGAATATATTGAAGAGATTTCTACGATTAAGGCAAAACCAACTACACCATGCGTTATAATCAATAATGATCATAGAGAAATACGACGCTGTAATAGAGAAAGTGATAAGAGATTGAGAGAATTAATTAATGTTTGGGAAATTGACATAGATGCTGTTAATGATGTTAATAGAGAACTTCATCTTCTTGGAGTATATTTAAGGCATTTCAACTATAACCAAAATAATGTACATAGCAAAAAATTGAAAGGCAAACACTCAACTGAAAGAAGTCAAATCAATTGTTATATTTGTTTTTTCTGCAACAAAAAAAAGATCTTTTTTAGTCAAGAAACAAGCTGTATAGAACATATACAGATTGTGTATAATCAAATACTACAAGTACCTTGTCATGGAATAGTTCTCTGCCTATCTATTGATCAAAGCTCATATACACAAAATGCATATAATTCACAAGGAGTTCACTTTGTATGCTGTCAGTGCTATAAAAAGAATAGAGGACATTTGCATATGCGCATGGATTAGGGTGCATTGCAATACATTCAGATGACATTGCAAATGCTCTTTGTCACTTTGCAAAGATAATTAAAACAGTGGCATATTTAGAAAATAAAATAACAAAAAAGAATTTACTTCAAATTCTTATTCAATGCTTAGAAAATTTTGATTTGGATTCATTCTTCATATCTAATAAATTACTTAGCTTGTTTGTAGTTAATACGGTCTTCAAAATTAAAGGGTTTAACTTTTTTAAACAACATTTTATACTACAATCCAAAAAATATGAAGAATTTGGAAAGTCACTTGTCTTTGAAGTTTTAAGATTGCGCACCAGCTTAGCACCTTATAAATCAACATTAGAAAGTCTCAACTCCTTACAGCAGTATTATGAAGTGATATTAAGGTGTTTAACAAGCTTTTTTAATAGTTTAGTTCATACTTTGCAATTTCAAAAATATGAAATTATTAAACAAAAGCAAAAAGAACGCAAAAGTACTATAACCGAATTTGATAACAATGAAGTGGTAAGAAGTACAGCATTCTTGTCTTCTATAATTCTAACAATTGTATTTAAAGGTTAGCATTTTTGGCTTCTACAAATAATTAGATCTTTCTATAAGCAACCAAAGCTCGTGACACACTTACGTGATATTCTTCGTGCTGCAAATGTAGTAGCATATTGTAAAGACTATGAAGTAACAGTTGGAAAGAAACGTATAGCAGAAGCAAATGCACAAAAAAAATTAAAGTTAGGCTCAAATATCTGGAATTTGGCAGTAATAGACAATATTGATTTTAAAGAAAAAACATTCAGAGCTGGAAATCTGTATGATGATACACGAGATACAGCTTATGCAACTCTATGCATAGTTTTTCAGTTTGAAATTCCTAATTTTAATATAACACAGTTAATAGATGATATTGAATTTTGCGGAAAAAATCTATTTGTAGAATAATGGATGAAAAATTTTACCCAAATCTTTAGACGGTTGATAGCGGAATATCTAATGAATTTTGCTATAGATGAAATAAATGTTGCACTTAATAAAGCAGTAGGATTAGAATGTAAAACTTTCCAACTAAATGTTGTTATCTTAGAAGCTGGATCTGCTCCAACAGCAATCTTGCGGTTCATAAAACTTGTAAAATGTATATAGATGATCTAAATTTAAATCAAGAAGACTTGTTAAATATTGCATATGATAAAGCTATTTTTCGCAGACTTACAGATTATACCAATAATCAGCTAAAATTAAATTTCATTTTTGGTCAGTGGCATATGAGTAAGGATATGTGTAGTGCACTAATTATTGCCTTCTCTGGATATAGATTATTCGGATTAGCATCTACACTTGGCACAAAGTTTTTGGAAAAGCTCTAAGATGTTGTTGATTATCATGCAATGTTTTGTATTCTTGAGCTTATCTGGGCAGCTGTAGCAATTGTTATTCATATGTATATGAATGACCATGGCATAACACTAGAAAATATTAAAAATGAAAACAATAATATTCTGAAAGTTTGGTTTTTATATTATCAGTGGGCTGGCTGGCTCAAGCTTCATAAGGTTGGCATTTGAATAGGTAACTTCAAAGTTCAACATAAACATTTAAAAGCTTTCGCACTATTATTTCAGTTACTAGAAAATGCAAATATGCAGAATCAGTACCACATTTCATAATAACAGTAGAAACAAATTCAATACTAAAAGCAAAACTTCAAGCAGTTGGATCTATAAATCTTATGGCAGATGAACATTTTTTTGCATTTGACGAAGCACTTAAGTATTTTGGTGTAAAATTCATTAAACAAAACATAATTAGACATCCAACTAATACAAAAAACTTAAAATTAGTAATTAAAGCTGCACAAAATAAAAGAGATCAATTGATAGCATTACACGCAGAATACGTAACTAACCCCTGTTTAAGTAGAACCATACATGCATATATTAATCATAAAGAGGCATTATGAAAACTAGTAAATACACTTTATGATGCAATTACCTCTAATGAACCTGAAAAACACCTATTGTTTGAGATCTCTAGCCAGCTAACATCTAGTGAATATAAACGTATTTTTATCTACTATAACAAAGGAGTTGTTAGAATTACAAATATAATTAGACAAGATATTTTAAAATTAGAAAAACATGTTGCAAAAAGACGAAAAGCAAAGGATGTAATACCTTATTATGTTGGAAGAAAGGCAGCCCAAAGTAAAAAAAGCAAAGCATAAAAGATATGTTAGACAATTTGTGAACAATACTTAGCAACTCATATAGTAGCGGTTTATTGTCACATTTTCGCATTTCAACCTAATTTTATTGTTAAAAAAGTTTTTTTTTTTAATTAATAGAACTGAATAAAGTTGAGCTTAAAAGAGGTTTTATAAAATTTTACCTTCTATATAGAATGCAATTTTCTTTTACATGTTGCTTTTTTCTAAATCTGTAAAGTAATATCTAGTAAAATATATATTTTCTTAAAGCTTATGCTTAGTACAACCTTCTTGATCACTTTTTATTTACTTTGTATTTGTATTTGAAAATAATCTTGGAAGAGAAGTAAAAATATTTACTGATTTTGAGATGCTGATTGTTCAACAAGAGATCACTTAAATGACCAAATAAACTACCATTCTATAATATAAAATGTGTAGAATAAAGTTTTTAAAAAAAGAAAATATGTATATTAATAAAACTTAAATAATCGTATTGTAAAACTTATTTCAATATAATAGTAAATTTTTAAAAATTTATAGTAGACCAATTTTGTATAACATCTCAGCTGACTGCATAATATCCAAATCTTAGATCTATATCTTTCAAACTCATTAAGGAAATCAACAAAAAGCTACAAAATTTCTTCTCAACATCTATGAATTATTCAATGAAAATTGTCAATATCTCAAAATTTTAAGCAAACCTTATCAGACCTTCTAATTAAATTTGTTTCTGAGATCAAAATACATATTGTCCTAAAATATCAGATCTCTATCTTTTAAACTCGCAGAGAAAATCATCAAAAAGTCTTATATGACCTAAATTAACCCTCAAATTTATACAACAAAAATTATACTATAACTCAAAATTAATATAGAAAACCTTCTTTGGTATCTTAAGCAAACTTATTCCTTAAACAAATTTATATATACTCCAAAAATTTTAATACTTACACCCTAATATTCACTGATTAAATCAACAAAACACCTAAAAACTCACTTATTAAATCCAACTAAAAATATGTCTCAACAAAGATTTCCTCACCACCAGCTTACTATTGACAATTCCTTGGACTGGTTCCAAGCATTTCCTATTGACAAAGGAGCTGAAAGCCAAATCCAATTTTCTACACCATTAGATACATAGGTACTTAACTCCATTAAACTATTTCTTCAAAACTTCTATCCTGACAAAATTATTCAAACAGAAATAACTAACTAATATAGCACTAAAAGCAATTTTAATGACCTTTTACAAAATATGATTTTTCAACAACCACAATTCGTTATAGACTTTATTTATCAAAACAGACCAAACACATATCACACTAATATATCCTCCAACTATTTACTATTTACTTTCAAAGATATTTTAGTTAACTTTACTACTGCTCTCTTTACAAAATTAAACTATAAAAAAATCTTTCATTCTTATTACTTTTCACCACCACATTTTATCTCTAAACGCTCTCAAATCACTATCAACCTTGCTTATTTATACTTCTTTCTTTAAAACTAATATAAAACTATTAACTATATCAAATTCTTTAATGATCTAGATCTCAAACCTATTTGGATGACACTATATTTTAATACTATATTTAATAATGATAACCAACTTTCTCTTAAAATTAAAAACAATTCCAAATACAATATTTATATTATATTTGATATTTCTTCACAAAGTTTTTTACAAACTTTTTACATCTCCTTCTTTAAAACATACTGAACACCACTTAACAAATGGTTCACAAAATTCTTTAACTTCTACCAAAAACAATTCTCACATATTAATAAACAAAAAACTTATAATTTTTTCAAATTTCAAATAATTTTTTATCTTAATACTGAACTTAAAAAATTACTCCCAGAATCTTACCAATTTCCTACTATTAACTTATTATATGAAAGAACTTCTGCATCTATTAAAGCATCACTTTATCATATTTATACATGTACAAACAATACATGTAATATTCCCCTAACAATATTTCACACACTTTCTACAACTTAACCTCTTTCTATTTCTATAACTCCTTTCCTAATTCTATCTACCCCTATTTAGATTTTTCTATTCAATCAAACCAACCACTAGCTGCAACTTTTACAAAACTTTTTTCATATAAATCCTTTAAAAAACTAGCCCAAATAGCTGAACAAAAATTTATACAACTTAACAATACTACTATGAACCCCAAATGTCAATCCTTTTTCTATTATACTTACCTTAAACACTTTTTACTTACTGCCTTTAAAAATGATAATATTACTGATACTAATCTTAAAAACACCCTTCAAAATACTTTTTTAAAAACAACAGACCCACATATTCTTGCTAAAATTATAGTATACTTTGATATCATACAATTCTTTAATACCCCTATCTCTCAAATTAAATCTAAATACAATCAATCCTATTTATTACAAGTAGCACAATATATTACCAAAAAACTTCAAATTCCAAAAATAACTACCAATCTCTTCTTCTCACAATTCAAAATACCAAACATAGCTGAGTCTTTATTTTTTACTAAATAAATCTTTTATACTCTATCTAACTCAATATTTAACAAATATTACCTTACTTCTAACAACCAAACTTATACACTTTTATTTACTCAACAACAATTTGCTTAAACAATATATATATATTTTTTTTTACTTAGGCAAGATCGCGCTAGTGATTCCTGTTTATTCAAGTTCTTCTTGTGAAAGCTGTAAACAATAAAACTATGACCCTAACATCCTGCGGTTACCTCGCATAACCTAACTGATTACCTACACATATCTACAGGTGATCTTCTGCACCACAGAGGTACGATTAATTAATATAATACCCTAAACGAAGGGCTCATCCAACCACCACTCTAACAATAGGATATTGCCAATCTGATGACATCTTCTCATAGGGAAGTGAAAGAAAAAAAAACATTTTACAAAAAAATACAGAGGTATAAGGGAATATGATAAAAGATACAAACAAAAAAATAAAGGGATAAAGGAAAAAATGAAAAAAGAGAAAAAAATATAGGATATACCTACAACGGACAGTTACAATTATATGCCTGTGTCGAGCTATATAAAAATTACATACTACTATTTAAACTAGTCTCTACTCTAATTTAACTAATTAGTATATTTAACCAAAAACCTAAAGGAAAAAAAAAGCTCTTCTACATTAGTACCGTACTCTAGCACTGTAAGCTTTCCAGCTTCTTTTGTTTAAACTCCCATAGAAGCGTAAACAAAAGCACGCTTCAGGCACTATAGAGAAGTCAGAAATTCGCACAGTTGGTCTCGAAGCATTGTTTGTCTGGGTTGCCACTTCCAAGGCACGTAATCTATATATTCACATTCCATAAATATCCACGTATTTGTTGTGACAGGAAAAAAGTAAATAATGCCGACCGATTTGATAAGTAAACAATATGTTGATCTTTTGAAGGAGGTAAGCTAAATCGCATACTTTTTTACAAAATTTTTTCTGAAAAAAAAGTGGAGAGTCAATGAGAATATATGAAGTTCTTTTTGTAAGTTTTACAGTTGTATAGTCCAGTTTCTAAGTATCTACTTGATATTCTTGCCCAGAGACTTTGCTCTACTTGTTTCTAGAATAAACCTTCTAGTTTAGATACCGAACGTGCGAAGGAGTCCATCGAAGAAAGAAAAACTTGACTCAAGGCACAAACCCGCCTAATATTCTTATATGCCACTCCTCGGTATTTCACGTATTGTAGGCTTCATCAACAACAAGTTTGCTTAGTGCAAAATCAAGAATATTGCTGTGTCCACTATGTTGCTTTTCTATATTGCTGATTGTAGTTCAGTAAATTGTTGTTGACCAAGTGATTGTCAGAAAGAGTTGATTTTGCTTAAACAATATTATCTTTACAACTTATCTTTAAAACTTAACAAAATAACTTTACTATTTCTACCTATATTATATTATATAACTAACATATTTTACTACTTCTTTATACTCTATTACCTTATTAACAGCTACAAATACTTATACAAATAATTAATATACATTATTATACCCAAACAAATTACCTCTTATCTATACTTTATAGATTCTTTATAAAGTACTTGTACAATCTATAGTAGGTTAAAACCCACCTAGATTTGTATAGATACTAACAAATCTAGGTTAGTTTTAACCACTCTAATAGGTTTAGGTTGCAGATGAATCAGGATTGGTTGCAGATGAATCAGGATTTTAGTTTCTGGTAGTCTGAGTCTTATTCTTGTAAAAATTTTGTAAATTAGCCTCGGTCAGAGGAACCCCTAGTGGATTTTCAATACAAAATATTAATAAAGATAAAGGCAAAACTTCACCTTAAAAAAAAAAAAAAAAAAAATTAATTATTAAAACTTAAACATGCTTTAAACACTTGTGAACACTTAAAAAGCCTTTGAACAGTCAAAATATATATCACTAGGCTAAGACAAGAGCAAGTTGTTGAGCAGCACTTCAGTTGTTAATGATAGCAGCTCATTTAAATTCTTTTAGTTATTCTACTGAGTCTTGTTTTCTATTATTAGTAAAGAAATCAATTTTATGGAGAGACTTTTTATTGCTAGACGCAAAAGCATTAGCCAGGTCAGTCATAGCTTGAGCAGCATTATTAAGAGCAGTGTCAACTATATTTACAGATGGTACACAGTATTAGTAGAGGTATTACAGATAGTTGTAGTGGTGATAAGTTAACTTCAAATTGTTCCAGTAGTAGTAGATTTGCTTTGGGTATAATAGATTATTTAGTAGTAGGTTATTGTTGAGTTGGTCGTAATTATTTTTTGGTAATTCTAAAGTTTTAGTTGGAGTAAAGATTTTTTGAACAGTACTATCAGAATCTTCTTCTTAGTTTGGATCCTCTGGAGATGAAGCTTCTTTTCTTTGTAAAGTATGTGCTTCTATTTGTACTTCTGGAAGAAGAACAAGGTTTACTTCAATAAATTGTCCTTAAGATACTTCAAATATATTTCAAGAAGAATGTTAGAGAGATTGATAGTGAAAGTTATCTGTTTTGTCTTGATAAGAGAGTAAACTATAAGAAAATGGGTTTCTCTGGATAATCTGTTGGTCTTGATAGCTAAAACTATAATTGTCGTCTGGTTGATATTGTATAGAGGGTCCTAGGTTTCTAAAATATCTTTTGTATTGTCCTGATTCCTTATATCCAAAATCATAAGCTAGATCAATATAGTGGTCAAAGATGTTTTGGTATTTAAAGTCAATAATAGGTAAGGCAGTGAGGTGTGTATATCTGGTAAGTAATGTAAGAGCAATTTTTCTAGAGTTTTTAATATCTTGGTTGTATCAGCAACTAAAAATAATATCTCAGATAGAGGTATGAATAGAGGATCAGTCTTAGATTATAGTTAAATGTCTAAAATTTGTAGTAGTTCTGGAGGTATAAGAATAAGCAGAATAGGTGTTAAAATACCAATTTCAAAATCTTTCAAAATTAGTTCAATGAAAGTGTAAGCACTAGTTCTTGATAGTAGAAAGCAAGCTTAACAAGAAAGATCTGGGTTTAAAGCTAGTAAAGTTGTATAAGGAAGAGCAGGTTTTGAATATATTCATATTCATAATTTTTAATATATTTCTTGTATAGCTAAGTAACTCTATCAGTTATAGAGTAAAGTCCAAAGCCTACAGACTAACTAAAATAGAAAAGATAATAATAAAATATGTTCTTGAGGTTGAATCCTTACATCTATATTTTGGCTTATAGAGAATCCTTCAATTGTTTCTCAAGATTCGATCCTTAAATCCTTCAATGTTCTAGGATAATATCGCCTAGACTAGTGTTCCAAATCGTTAGTTGAAAAATCAACTAGTTGCCAACTTTCCAACTAGTCGATTTGAAAAAATTTTATGCAACTAATCGATTAATAATTCAACTAGTACAATTCCGAAAAATTCCGTCTAGTCGGGCAGATCCGAATTAATTCCTTTGGTTTGATTGGCTAATCATCTGATGATGCCACGTGATGTGAACAATCGATTGGTTGCAACTATAGTTGGCAACTAATCGATTGGTAAAATATTTACCAACTCGGAACACTAGCCTAGACATCAGCTAAAATAAATCAAAGAGGGGTTGTTATCCACAATATTCAAATTTAATCTAGAATAATTATCATCCAATAAATAGCTATTAATTAAGAAAGTCAGAATAATGTTATCTGATAATAGTTTTAAAATGTTTTTCACCAAGAAGCATCAAATATTACAGTATTGTAGCCTTTTTAACAGCAATACTATATCAATAACATGACTACAAAGATTCTTTACAGATTTATAACAGTGTCTAACAGATAAGTATAATTTCCACTTCTTTTAGAAACTATATCCTTTTGTCTGTGACAGTTCAGGCTAACAATAATTTATAAATAAAATATATGTTTATTAAAGATAAATAAGATAGACTATTCTTAAATTTCTATTCCTAAAGAATTCTATAATATTACAAGAGAGAATTTAGAGAAGAAAGAAGTCTGTATCTAAGGTGGACAGTAACAGGTCTAATATTAACTTGGGAAAATTTACAACCTTTTTATATCTTTAGAGCTAATCACTAATCATTGCAGCTAAGCATAGTCTACTAGAACCCCGAAATATATGTATATAGATAAGATAACTTTAAACTTTTTATTAATTGCTGTACGCAAGACTTTTTTATAAGATTAGTACGCAATATTTATAACTTACTTTAAAAAATTCAAAAAAATACGCAAAATAAATATCTAAGCTTATATATAAAATAAAATTTTATATAATCTAAAATAATACAAATAATAACAATAAAAATTACACTAAATTAAAATTAAAATTTTTATATTATAGTATATAGTAAATTTTTTAATCGATCATAATTCTTAAATTTAATTAGTAGCTTGTTAATACTTTTTTATATTTTATGCAAACTATTTTATTCAAATTATCTAATTTTAAAATTTTATTTATAAAATAAAATTTTAAACATTATATTGTAATAACATTTGTATTATATTAAATTTGATCAACAATTATTTTAATTATTTCTTTTTGATTAAAATAATTAAAATATTGTTTTTCCTTTACTACTAATTTTAAAATGTTATTTTCAATTAATACGCCAGTTGCTCCAATATGATAAATAACATTAGAAGCTAAATGATGTGTTAAAATATTAAATCCTTCCATTGTTGTATCACTAAACAAATCTCGATGAATTAGTATATAAATTTGTAAAGATATATAAGATATATCATTTAAATTTGTTATTGCTTCATTAATATAACAATGCCGGTTATAAGCTTCAGAATAAATTGCAATAACTTTTCCTACACATAATTGATTTCCATAAATTACAAAGATATAATTATCTTTAACTAACGGAAAATCTTCTGAAATATTTGCATTTTCGATATTTGGAACTTAAATAATAAATTAAATAGATTAGTTAATATAAACTTATAATAAAATATAAATACTGTATTGTTAATAAGAAAATTTTAATATTAAAGTTTTAATTATTTAATACTAAATATAATTAAAAGTTTAATTTTAAATTTTTTTAATAACGCTTATATATAATTAACAAAACACATACTTTGAATAAAAGATTTTTGTTTTTTAACTGATTTGTGTTTGCTTGTTTGTGCTAATTTTTTAGTATGAATTTGAGCTAAAGTATTAGATATATAGTTACGATTTTCTTTCTATCGTTTTTCACGTTGTTTAACTGATTTTTCTTCAGGATTTTCATTTTTAGAAAAATATGCAACAATATGGCTAGCCTTATTCAGATGAATTGTCATTGTAGTATTAATATTAAATTTTGTAGAAACAGATTTAATATTAAGCTTTTGCTCTAGTGATCTTGAAGTATAAGCTTCATGTCTTTGTCGTTGTTGTAATAAGAGTTCAAAATCTAAATTATTTTCTAATCTATATTGAAATCCTAAATCAACTATATTTAAAATTTATTAAATTTAAAATATAATTATAATAAAAATTTATAATATTATTAAAATTAACTTACTACTATCACCATTATATAAAATAGAAAAGTCTTCATTAGAGCGATTAACTATATTTAACTGCAAACTTCCTTCTTGAAACAAATTATTTGATAGAATTTCTTCATTATACTCTTGTGTTGTAATATGTTTCATTTTACAAGAAGCTTCGGTTATTGCCATAGAAATATTAATTTCATTCTCTTCATTTTGCTTATTATTATTTGTAGAACTAATTGTTTCATTCTCTATATTAGTTGAAACCTCTTCTTCATGAATAACAACAAATACTTGTGGAAAATTAGATTTAAAAAAATCATCTATAGGCTGAATAATATTAAGAAATTCCGCAAGTTCACAAACTAATTGATGAGAATGTTTGATCGTTTGTGAAATTTGATCATCAGTTGGCCATAGTTTTAATAATTTCAATGCTGATTCACTTAAATTTCTATAATTATAATCAAACTGATAACCTAATAATTAAAATCTAATATTAAATATAGTTATAAATATTAATTAAGTTTTACAAATACTAGATATAATACTATAAAAAATAGTATCTAGATAACAAATTATAATACTATATCTAATACTTGTAAAGCCTTAATATTACCTAATATATTAAATAAAATAATAATATTTACCTTGACGAATAGTTTTTTCTTTAGCAAAACTTAATTTCTCTGGTCTTAAAGCTTTATCATATTGTAATATTTTAGGAATCATTTGAATTAAATCAAGAAAATCAAAATCTGAATTTAATTGACGTGCAATACCAAAAAAATGTTCAACCAGCTCAGATCCATGAAACCAAGGTAATAATGGTATTTGTAGATAATATTCACAATGAGCCTTAACTAATAAGACAAGTGATTCACAAAGTGAAGTAAAAATAGCAAATGTTTGATTTGCTAAAAAATTTTGTTTCAATGAAATAAAATCAGGATATTTTTGAGAAAGAATTTCTATATGAGTACGCCATAATTGAATAAAAAAATAGCCTGTTATAACCATTCTAATTCATTCAAGTGGTGCAATATTTTGATTTAAATAACTATCAATTATTTCTCCTTTAAAATATAATATAATTAATATAATATTAAAATAAAAAATTATATATTTATTAATATATATTATATTTACCTAATACGAAAATATAAATTGCAAACCCTTCCATTCCAGTTTTGATTTGATAATTAATTGTTAAGCATTGACGAAAATTTGATGAACAAAAAGTTCGATAAGCTGCTGCATCATCTTGTCGATCCAGTTTAATAACATCATTTTTAAACATTACAGAATTTTGCTGATTAATAAGATGTAAAAAATGATCATATCGAGCTGAAGAATTACCAAAAGTCAATAAGCGTGCTCCAGACATTATAGCATTTCATGCTGTTTTTTTAGCATGCTTGGGATCTTGAATTTGAATTATAGGACCAATCTCATCAAATATAGGACATGAAAAATTAATGTTTAAATCAGGTTCTTTAACTATTAGTTTTGCATTAGTTTGAGTTTTAGAAATTGATTGCTGTGCTTGAAATTCTGTTATAGCTCCGTCAGATCCCAAAGTAAGTATATGAAGGCCAAGTAATGGTGCAATATCAAAAATTAATTGCTTATGTAATTGTAATATTGAATCTGCAGTATCCGATCCATTATTTGGAATTAAAGCAATAACTATTGGAGGAAATGCAGGTAACGGCACCTTTATATAATATATAAATTAATAAATTAATATTAATATATATATATTAATTTATAATTATAAAATTATACCTGTAAAAGATAAGCACGAACACTTTTTGCAATTCTATCTTCTGCTTTAATTTTATTAATTATTCTTGGAATATCGTTATATATATTAACTTTTGTTTCTTCATTTGATAATATAGATTCAATAATACATCCAAGATTAGATGAATATCGTAATCCTAATTTAAGTTTTGTGTTATCCATCATAGCTGCAATTGGTCCATTATAATTAATTGTATCAATAAGTCTCTTAAATTTAGCTACATTTTCATAGCATAATTCGGGATTAGTTAAGTATTCATTATTATTTCTTCTCAATAGTCTATAAAAAATAAATTAATTTATAAATTAATAAATTTAAAAATTAAATATTTTCTAATTATAATCAAAGATATCCTAACTATTATAATTTTTCTGATTGTAATTAGAATATTACAATAAATTAAATAGTAAAAATTTATAAATTTAAATAATTTAATAATATTTTAATTGCAATTAAAAAAATTAAAATAGTTAAGATATTTTTAATTACAATTAGAACAATACTAAATAATAATATAATTTCTAATTACCTGATTGACTGAATTGATCTGCCTTCTAAATTTTGACAAAATAGATCTAAAGCTCTTGAACTAATTCCACCTAATATTACTAAAAAATTAGTAAATTCTTTACTATATTTCAAATTTTTATTTGATTTGTTTTTCATCTTTCTTTCAATTGAATCACTCATGATTTCACAAAGACCAGTAAATACTGGTGTATTCTTAAAAGCATCTTTTAAAGCTTTGTCTGCAAGAATAATCTATGAATTTTTTAATTGTGTATTAGATTCATTATTAAGTATATTCCAAATATCACGAAGATCGTGATTTTGAAGATGTTGTTTTAATTGACGATTCTCCAGTCAACTGAAGAATGATCATAGTGAAACGTGATGCGGTTCTATATATAAATTACTATAGGTGCGAAAATAGAAATTTTTTAGTGATTGTCCAAAGAAAACTTTTTTTGTACTAAGTTAATCATCTTTAAGTCTCTAATTAAAGTTGTAGAGCTCATCGAGACGAATCTAATGGTAGTTAAATCA